TAATTGCATTTCCTATATGGGAGCTATAGACAATCATTATCCCTCAGATAAGCTCATTCAGTTCTTTCAGAAAACACCCGTGGTCTTCCCAAGGATCACCAAAGCGGAGCCCATAGAGAGCGCCCATTTGGCGTTCACTGATGGCTCCGCCACAGGGAAGGCAGCCTTTAGTGTTGATGGACAGGTCACCTCTTTTGACACCCCTTTCACCTCCGCGCAGCTGGTAGAGCTCGCAGCGGTCATTAAGGTTTTTGAATCTGTCTCGGGCCCCCTCAATGTTTATACTGATAGTTCCTATATTGCACAGTCAGTCCCTCTATTGGAAACCGTCCCGTATATCCGTCCCTCCACTAATGCGTCTCCTCTTTTTGCCACTCTTCAGCTTCTAATTCTCTCCCGCGATCACCCCTTTTTCATTGGTCATATTCGTGCCCATTCCGACCTCCCCGGTCCTCTTTCTGAAGGGAATGATCAGGTTGATCAAGTAACTCGTCGCATTCTGCTTGCTCTGTCTGCCTCCCCTGTTGAGGCTGCCACACAAGCCCACAAGCTGCATCACCTGAATGCCCATACGCTTCGTCTCAAGTTCCCTATAACCCGGGAACAAGCCAGACAGATTGTGAAACAGTGCCCTGGTTGCCTGACCCTCCTTCCTGAACCTCATAATGGCATCAATCCCCGAGGTCTTATCCCCGGGGAACTTTGGCAAATGGATGTCACTCACTATCCCCCTTTTGGTCGGCTTAAATATGTTCATGTGTCCATTGATACCTTCAGTGGCTTCATTTTTGCCACCCTGCAACCTGGAGAGGCCACCAAACATGTCATTAATCACCTCCTTAGTGCCTTGGCGGTCCTCCCGCAGCCCAAAATTCTTAAGACAGATAATGGCCCTGGTTATACCAGTTCTTCTTTCAGATCTTTTTGTACACAGTTGCATATTAAGCATGTTACTGGTATACCCTATAATCCTCAAGGGCAAGGAATTGTGGAAAGGGCCCATCAGACACTGAAAAACATGATCCTGAAATTACAATCAGGGAGGGAAGTTCTTTATCCCAGAGCTGGCAATGCCAAAACATTGCTCAATCACGCTCTTTTTGTTTTAAATTTTCTCACTCTGGACACTGCGGCAAAGAGTGCCGCAGACCGCCTTTGGCATTCCACTACGGCCCAAACCTACGCTCAGGCAAAATGGAAAGATCCCCTGCTTGGCAAATGGCAGGGCCCTGATCCTGTGTTAATCTGGGGCAAAGGCCATGCTTGTATTTATGACTCAAAGTGCCAAAATGCTAGATGGTTGCCTGAAAGGCTGATTAGGTTGATGGACAAGCCAGAAACTCATAATGCCGTCCAGGGAACCACACCCCCCTGAGACACCTCTGTTTTCTTTCTCTGTTTTACAGAAAATGACGATCCTCGTAATTTTCCTCCTGTTCCGTGGGAGCCACGGTGGTTTTCAATCTCCTGACCCAGTAGCGCTCAGCCGTGCCCTCTTTGGAAGCCCTTGTGACTGCGGCGGGGGCACGTTCACTGTCCGTCCCGCCACCTACACGCAAGAAGTGGACTGCGGGGAAAAGACAGCCTACCTCGCCTACCGTCATTCTATCACGGGCGTCTCCAAACCCAAGTGGGAATGCGTAAGGAAGCCCCGAGTTATCCCTCCGAATGGTGGCCAGCCCGGGCCTTGCCCCAGTGATTGCAACTACCTTGAGGCCTTGCACTCCACATGCTATAGTTCTACCCAGCAGTGCAGTGGCAGCTCAGGAACAGTCTATCTTACTACAATACAGGAAAGAGAATATGGTGGCTCCACAGGAGGGGACTGGGCGCATATAACTAGCCAAGGCCTACGTGGAAGTACCAATAAGTATGCTCAGGCTTCCTGTCGTAAAGAAAATATTGGAAAAAATGTCTGTTGGCCCCTTCATGCACCTGTCCATATCTCTGATGGGGGTGGCCCTACAGACCAAATTAGGGAACATGAGGTTAGGGAACGAATAAATGAAATAATTAAGAGTATGTATCCCCCCATCCATTACCATCCACTTGCACTGCCCAAACCCCGGGGAACGGACCTAGATGTCCAAACTTCAGAAATCCTTGAAGCAACACTTAAGGCCCTTAATTACTCTAACCCTGATTTGGCTGCCGATTGCTGGCTGTGTATGGCCCTTGGCACACCTATGCCCATAGCTTTGATGTCCAAAAATGGCTCCACATCCACAAATTGCACACTTAGTCCACCTTTTAAGGTACAACCTGTTGGTCTCCGCCCCTCTCCTTGTATCCAAGCCCCATTTCAGAATTCCACTGCTGATATTGATGTTGGTTTTGCTACCTTTGCTAATTGCTCTGAAGTCAAAAACTATACCTCACAGGAACCTCTCTGTCCCCTGCCGGGACAACTTTTCGCCTGTGGGGGAAATATGGCCTACTCTGCTCTCCCCCAGAATTGGACAGGACTCTGCACACAAATTTCAATCCTCCCTGATATCGACATCATTCCGGGAGATGAGCCTGTCCCACTGCCCAGTTTTGATTATATTACTGGAAGACCCAAGAGGGCTGTTGCATTTATCCCCCTCCTTGTTGGCCTTGGGATTACAGGGGCACTCGCTACCGGCTCTGCCGGCATAGGAGTTGCTGTTGATTCATATACAAAACTATCCCATCAATTTCTTAATGATGTGCAAACCCTCTCGGGGACGATAAATGACCTTCAAGACCAAATTGACTCCCTGGCGGGAGTCGTTCTTCAGAATAGGAGGGGCCTAGATTTACTCACGGCAGAACAAGGGGGAATTTGCTTAGCCCTACAAGAAAAATGTTGCTTCTATGCAAATAAATCTGGGATAGTGCGGGATAAAATCAAAAAACTGCAAGAGGATCTGATTGAAAGACGCAGAAAACTTTTTGAAAATCCCCTCTGGAGTGGCTTGAATGGAGTCCTCCCATACCTCCTCCCTCTTCTTGGACCTTTAATTGGTCTCCTCCTACTTTTTTCTTTTGGACCTTGGGCCTTTACCAGACTAACCTCTTTCATTAAGACGCAGATTGAGGCTTCTCTTAAAAACACCGTCAATATCCATTACCACCAACTTGCTTCGTCAGAAGATCCTACTGATACCATGGAAGAGGGTCTCCAGTTCTCGAAGCTCGTGCATCCGGAATCTCGCTGCTCGCGGTGGTGGAGAAATATTAAGGATAAAAAGTGATCTGGCGGCTGTGAGAGAGCCCATGACGGGAATATTGAGGTCCCATGTTTCAAAAAAGATCAGCGCGGCTGCAGTTGCTTCCCCATGACGGGAATAGAGTGAGGCCATGATGGGTTACATCGTGGGGTCCCCTCGCTTAGCCTAAGACAGGGACCACTGCCACTAATGCGCTTTGAACATGGAGGCCGACCTCATAGCCTAAGACAGGCCTCTCACCTGCTATTTTAAATACAAAATGGGGGACATGCTGGAGGCCAGCACCTGGTAGTGGGCCCCTAACCCCGTGAGATTACCACACCCCAAGCAGCTTGTTCCGGGACAAACCGTACCATAACGTGTTCCTGTCAGGGCTAACCGCAAGATGTCGCCACACCGCCCCTGGAAAGTCCCGGAGGCCCATTTTCCCCTTTTGCCCCTCCCCGCTTTTGCCCTATATAAGCTTGTAACGCTCAAAAATAAAATTAGACCTTGCCTACCATCCTTTTGGTCTCACTCCTCCTTTTCACCCATTCCCTTCAGCCAGGGTCCTCCTCGACCCCCCACGTATACTGGCCCTGCAGGTCGGGGCATAGGAGAAACATTTGGCATGTGTGATTCCTAGTGTAGAAAAATGATTGACTCACCCCTTTGAACTTTTAAAAATACAAATCCACACACATTGACCTGCTACTAAGAAAAGAGCAGGTAAGGCTGAAGGAGAGCATTTGAAAGGAAAGTTGAGCCAACCCAAGTTCGCTGCTTTGATTTAGAACTTCAGTTCCAGGCACATCTAAAATTAGGCTCAGCACAGCATCTGTAGGGGGTCGGTAATCCCCTAGCAGCAGGGTTGGAAAAGGAAAGAGGCCCCTTGGAATCTGTTGACATTTCCTGGTCAACATCTGCCTGATTGTCCAGAATCGGCACTCTTCACGGTGCTTTTGGAGACAGGCTGATCTCAATGCTATCTGAACAGTCTTACACTGATTCCCAGTGAGTTTACTGGGGTTTGGTATTCATCTTTTTGGATGGATAACCATGTTAGGCAATGTACCTGTATTTGATAGTGCTAAGGCTAAAACTGGGCTCTTTACTCCTGGCACCTTTATATAGTCCCAGGAGGAGTCAGTGTCCGGCTTTTAGGTGGCCCTAGTCAACAAGAATTTGTTGCTTCTTAGCCCCTTTTCCTTTTGTTTCTGCTTTCTGACCTGCTGATGTTATGTTAGGGAATGTCTGTTTCAGGTGAAAAAAGCAGTGGGGAATTTATGGCCAGGCTTGTTCATTTCCAACTACTGCTACAGTTCAGGTTTAGCTCCTCCTTACTCTCCTGGATTATTGCAATAACCTTCTAATCCGTTCCCTTGCCCCTCTCCCCCACCTCTGTTCTCCCATACCCCCATCACACAGAACTACACTGTTTTCTTTCTAACACAGAGCTCTGATCACATATTATTCCAGTAAAATCAAAATAAATTCCTTACTTAGCCTGTGGTTCAAAAGTCCCTTTTCAATCTGCTCCAGTCTGATTTCACGTTAGCACATCCTAACTCTCATTTTAGAGATGAGGAAAGTGAAGCCCAGAGAGGGAAGTAAGTGTCTTGCACGTAGCTAGTAAAGAGCAGAATGCCTTCTGGCTTCTGAGTCCATGGCTTTTTCTGTCATAACCAAGCTACCTTTATTTTATACTGAGTGTACATATGTTTGTGTTTTTGCTCTGTATACTATCATTATGGTACCTGCTACCATGAAGCACTTAATAAACAAAACAACTGAATTAATGAATTCACATTTTGAGCTCTGTGCATTATGGAGCTGTTGTATCCCCGTCTAAAGAAGAGAAGACTCCTGGGCCGGCTAAGTCAGGGTAGGCCACTTCCTATTTCTGTAACCTGGGAGAAGTCATTTAAGCTCTCTAGGTCTCAGTTTCTTGAACTGTAAAATAGGTTAGACTAGATGACCTTTGCGATCCCTTCCAGTTAAGAAGTCTCTGTTCTTATGAACTTGACTTTTCAAGCAAACCGAGGACACTGCTTGCTGTGACGGCTTGTCCAGAGTCCTTGGAGTGGCCCTAACGTGCGTAGACGCGCTTGGGAGAGTGCGTGGCAGCCGCTCCTAGGTGTAGCCCCCGTTCCGCCTCGTTGGCTTGGGCAGTGACACGTGGTCACCGTGCCTGGCGATCAGCCCGAGCGATACTAGCGTGTGAGTGCGTGGGCCGGGCCGCGAGCTGGAGCCTTGGCGTTTGGCCTGCAGCAGGCACCGTGGTGGGAGCCGGGCGTGGCATGCGCGCCTGCGGGGCGGCGGTTGTGCGCTGCCTGAAGCCTCCGCGAACAGTTGGGATCTCGTGCGTTTACTGTTACTGCGCTTCCAGGGGGACGGACGGAGGCAGGATGGAGGGACGCTGACCATAGCCTGGCAACAGTGTCCAAACGCGAAGACTCCCGGCTTGGGGCAGGAGCAGGAGCAGGGGCCGGGGCTGGGGCTGCTCTCCTCTCCTCCCTTTGGTGCCGCAGCTGCTGCCGCCCTATGCTTCCTCCTGGTACGTTTGTACGGGGAACCGCTCAGCCACGACCGCCCGGGCCAGGCCACTCTGCTTCGTCCCTGGAGAGCCGTCCCACCCTGGACCCAGACGAGGCTGCTTGAAGTCTGGGAAGCGGTAGCCATGGTTTCCCGGTTTTGCTTTGGGGCAGGGTATTTTAGGCGGAATCTTGGGGAGGGGAGGAAAGAGGGAAGCTAATTGATTATGAATGCTTAGCGAATATCCCATTCCCTTGTTTCTGTTTCTCTTAAATCCTGCTGCTGTTTTTTGATGGCTGGGGCATATAAAAAGTTTGTCTTCCTCTTAAGTACCCTGGTGGAAGCAGGCTAACTGGCCTGAAGAAGCTGCTTTCTAAACTACTTTGGCTGCCAGCATTTCCTTGCCCAGGGGATTAATATTTTACTGGATGTTTGGAGGTCCAAAGGAAGTTAGAGAAAACAAATCACCTCTTGCTAAGCGTACCTACTTTTCCAAATGTGTTCTATTTGGTTGTAATTTATTTTTCTTATTTTTCTTGTGCTGCCAAACTTAGTTTATAGCTTATTTGTGTACAAAATCCTTATTCCCTTGTTCAAAAAATTAAATGTCATATGGAAATGTTCTTTTTGAATTTAATTCCATTAGGACAAAAATGAATTTTTTAGTAACGCTTACGAGGCTTTGGAATATTACCCTGGAAAACAAAAAAAAAGTTGCATTTTAACTTTGTTTTATAAATAGTTCCCTCTTCCCAGCACATAAATTTGGTAGCTCCTATTTTCTAGCACTTTACAGTTTGCTGAGCTATTTGCAACCCCCCACCCCCACTTCCCCCACATTGACATTATTTTGCCTTTACCCTTGAGGTAGTGTGAGGACTGAGTAGCCAGCCATGGAATCAGGAAGCCTTGCCTCTGGCACATACTGGCTGTTTGTTTGACCCTGGGGCAAGATTTCTGTTTGACCTTGTACATTGCAGAGCTGGTGTGGATGAGACGGTTCCTACAGGTATTAGGCAGATGAAGGAATTGAGATTCAGACTCGTCTTACCCAGGATGAATTCAGTTCTGCAAACATTAAGTGCTAGGCCTGGGGGATACAAAGATGAGAAATGAAAGAAGTCTTGCCCTCAGAGAATTTAGATTCTTCTGGTACACACATCCAGTGAATCTTGGAGCAGAGACTAAAATCCCAGAAAGCAGCGCTGGCGCGTCCTCCTCCCATCTTGTTATTTATCGTTGCTCCTTAGTGCCTCTGACTTCCACACTACCTGAAAACTTTGGGGAAATTGTTCAGTTTTCTAGTGCTTTGAAACAAGTGGTTGAGAATTGTTCCATTAGATAAAACTTACTATGAGTATGTACCTGTTAACATTGAGGTGCTTCTTTTGAAGTAAGTGTTATGTTTAACTGAAGAAAAGAATGTACTGTTCTTTCTACAGTGTCCTGAAGTTTCTTGGAAGTAGGAGGTTGGACTGATGATGATTTCTGTTCAGATGACCCCCTGGTGCCTTCTTTTAACTGCTGTAATTTGACCACAGATGATCAAAGTAATTCACACTTGTAGCTCTGTTTCTGGAGTTTGATAGTAGTTTGTTTTTAAACAGGTCAAACCAGGGCTTACAACCCTAAATTCCTATTCCTGCGGTGATGACCCAAGCTTGTGGAAAGAAACTGTTCACAGTGAGGACATGGTCCAAACAGGGGATTGTTTCAATCTTTACAAATCACAGGTAAGCAGAGACTAATGACGAATTTTTACAAGGGTGAAAGTTGACTTTAAAATGTTTACATGAGCTGTGTAATCTCAGGAGAAATCAATGGATTTTTCTGTGCCTTAATTGTTCCTTTGTACAAAGTCAGACAATATCATCTCTAAGGTTGCTTCTGGCTTCAATTCTGAGATTCTTTTATAACTTTAATTTTCTGATAATCGATTGTGAAATCATACATGTTTTCACCTTCTCATTTATTTTTCTTTTTTTGTTGAGGCGATTGGGGTTAAGTGACTTGCCTGGAGTCACACAGCTAATGAGTGGTATGTGTCTGACACCGGATTTGAGTTCAGGTCCTCCTGACTGCAGCAGGGGTGCTCTATCCACTTCGACACCTGTCTGCCCCATTACCCTCTCATTTTTAAAATAGGGATTACCTGTGCCAGGGCTGGGGAACCTGCAGCCTCAATGCCACATGTGGCCCTCTAGGTCCTCAAGTGTGGCCCTTTGAATCCAAACTTCACAGAACAAATCCCTGACACCCTTAGGTTAATTTACTTTCCCCTTGAAATCCTTCTTGCAATGCTTCATTGTGCATTCCAGGAGGTGTTATCCAATCAGGGTCATGGGGTAGGAAGCCCTCCCCTCTTAATTTCAAAATTTTATAGCTTTTTTGATAAAGACCCAAATAATTTTATATGCGAACATTAGCACATAACCTTCGATTTTCTCAGTTCTCTCTACAATATGTATAGACATATATTAGACAGATATTTCATCCTTGAGTATCTTTTTGCTCATCTTTTAAGGATTCTAAGGTAGTAGTTGAAATGAGAGTGTTATAGTAGTAAGAGCTCTCCCTGGCTTAGTGACTTGAGTGCTGTTCCTAGCTTTGGCAGTACTTAGCCATGTGACTCTTGAAACCTCAGTTCTTTCATTTGTAATTAGAGGGAATTGAACTTGAATAATCTCTGAGATCTTTTTCTAGCTTTCAGGTTCTATTTTTGTGTGTCATTTGAATTTCCATTTAGCAGTTTGTGTTTTTATGTCACAAATTTTATAATTTTCTTAGTCACAAGTTTTCCCTGATACTGCCCTTTATTTAACCTGTCTCTTTTCCCATTATAAAAGAGAATGTTAGCGTGAAAAGAAATAAATACAAATAACATTTGTTATGACTTTAAGATTTGTCAGGTGTTTTCCTAACAACAACCCTGTAACACAGTGGTAGGAGCATTTGCAGATGAAAATGTTTAGGCATATAAAGTTTAAATAAATATTCACCCGTGGTCATAAAACTTCAGAATTGGGATTCAGGCTTTTAGCCTTTTGAGGCCGAGTGATGTCGATTTTAGTAGTTACCTTCCTGGATGCTGACTCACTCTGACTTCTGGTTCAGGTGAGTCAGTAAATCTGTGGAGGGTTTATTTTAAAGTTGTGTCTTCAGAGTGCTTAGCTTATTTTCTTGGCTGGAATAAAGATTTTTGGGAGTTTTCTTCACTCAACCATATAACCCCAGCACATTCCTTAAAAGCAGTGAGCGTGTTGATAGTTTACTGCTAAATAATAACCTCTAGCCATTAATTCTCTGGACTTGCTCCAGTTTTCCATGGCATTGCCATGGAAATAGTTGGGAAGATCCCTTAGCAAGTGCCTTTAATGCTTTAGTATTCATAGTAAGGTTTTTATATTTAAACTTTATGATTTCTGCATTGATTTTACTTAGCTAATTTAGTTTAGGATTAATTGCTCAAACTGAAGTATGTATGGATATCTGCATGTTATACATATACCCTTATCTGGGAAATAAAAATATATCAGCCTAAAATTAAACCTGGTTAAACTTGGAAAGTTTGAAGTTTATTATTGTCATTGATTTTTCCTTCTGTTTATAAAAAGAGAACTGGCAGGCTTTTGGAAAAGATTTCCTATATAAAATCACATCTTTACAGACACATCGTTGACTGAATTGTATAGAGAATAGAAGAGCCATTTGTGTATGTTCTTTGTTGATTACCAAAAAAAAAAAAAGAGTATTTGTCTTGGTAGAGCAAAACTCAGCGTTAAGGATTATTCCCTAACTAGGAATATTTTGTATGTCTGTCAGGATCATGTAAGATTTCCTTGATAAAAGCAACCACAGAGATACATTTGTCATTAGTCCTCCAATTATTAAGTTCAAGTGAGACATAAAATGGAGATGGATACTCTCCATAGGCGTTTGTCGTTCCCTTGGAGGATGGCTGTCCAGTACGAGGCCCAAATGGAAGAGGGGCTGCTTATTGTTGGTGAGACCTCCCAGATGATCCTGGGTGTTCTTATGTGCACATGATATTGTGCTGTTCTCATCAAGGCCCAAAACATTACAGAACCTTCTCAGTGAGGTTTATGATCATTTAAAGGCATTCAACCTAACAATTCATGTAAGATAGATTAAATGGATGAAAAATGACAGCAGTGATGGGGAGGAATGTGTAATAACAAGACAGTTGTCTGGGCTGTGATAAGTAGTTGGCCAGTCCATTGAATTACCACATCAATACATATATCTGGGACAGATATTGCAGCTGCACAAATGAGTTGGACTGACAATTAGGAGGGAGAGAACGGGCTGGGTTTTATTTGGAGAACTGTACAGTACTTTTAACTAGCCTGTTTTCCTGTGCTCTGATACATTGTCCCATCTTTTAACATAAATGTTCTCTTGATAATGTTGTAGAGACGTTTTAAAGATGAAGAAACTTGAGGCCTAATAAAGTTAAATGACTTGGTGCAGATCATATCACACAAGTAGGAGGAGAGAGGAAGATCCACAGGTCAATAGAGAAATGTGTGGCAGGGACACATGGGCCATCCCTTATTGCTGGTTATGATTGAAGTGCAGGAAGTATGGGAAGAATATCATTGAAGAAATGGAGGGAAGAGGTGGACAGGTCACATGGTGTGAGAGAGGCGAATGAATCAGTTGGGCAGTCTGAGTACCCAGTTGGTTCCTATGACCTTGGGGAGGATCTGAGTCACTCTAGTGATTTAATTCTCTGAGAAAGGTCTGTGTAATAACATTGGACAAGAATAGTATGAATGAGAAAGTATGGATAGGTGAACTTCATGTGCACAAATGTGGGAATGCCTGTATCAGTGAGAACACAGAGCCAATGAAATATTGAAGAAGTTTCTTCCATTTTTATTTATGCTAATGCCATATTGGTATAGTGCTTTACCATTTTCCAAACATTCACTTACTAGGAGAGGCAGTGTGGTGCAGTGGAAAGCTCCTCACTGGAATTGGGGTTGAAAGACCCAAATCTTCTTTGCTTCTCCTTGGACCTTGATCAGGTCACTAAACTCAAGCCTGGTTGCACTGCTGTAAACTTGGAGTAAATGGTCTCTGAGGTCATTTCTAACTCTCTGTAAATCCTCTTGTAAATTTAACATACATCCATATGACAGTCCTGGGGAGGAGGCAGAGTGTAGGTGTTCTCATTTTATAGAAATGGAAACTGCAGTTCAGAGAGGCTAATGAGTAAGTGGTGAGGCTGGGACTAGAACTCCAGGGGTTCTCATTCCATAATATCATGTGGCCTCTCAATAGTTATATAAAAACATAGTCTTTTTGAATGTTTTTTCATGTTTCTTGAATAATTTTTTTCCTTTTTATTCTGTCCTGATTGATTATTTTATTTCATTTAAAAATAATTAATTTAACAAACCAATTAAACTTTTAAACACATAAAAATAATGAATTTAACAAACTAAACTTGACTTTACAGTTGTTTGCTCTTTAAAAAGCCATGTTACACAAAAAGTTATTTCTAATGGATTAGTTGTTCTCTTTCCTGATTTGATTTGTTATGTTATTAATGTAGTGTTTTTTTAATTGGAGCAGGACTTTTGTCTTACAAAATGTATGTATAATATTGATGCATGTTTTGGACTTGGGAACTCAGAAGGGCCACTGAGTGAATGGAGAGAGAATATAGGGTAGTAAGAAGAAACAGGTCCAGTATAGTTGCCTACTAGATGGTGTTTGTGGACTTCTCCCAGGTCAGTCTGTATGTTCCATCATGCCATGAGATGTAGCACTGCAGTTAAACAGCTGGCAGCCCGACCCAAAGAGGAGTGGCAAGGGTCTGAGCCTTTTATGTCCGGCCTTGCTAACTGATTCCCCAGACAGTGAATGTATCAGAGTTATTAATTTCTAAAGAGCTTCCAGAGTCAAGCAGAACCTCCTAATTCAGGGGCTCATCTCATGCTCTGGTTGGTTCCCCAGTTTCACACACCCTCTTTTATGCATCTGCATTGTTGGTGACTGATAAATAAAGAGTACAGAGTGCCAGAGGGTACTCATGGCTCTAATTCTGTTGGCCTCTGCAAGCAGTACTGTTCCTTCAGCATGTCTTACACACACACTTCAACACCAGATTACTTTACCTAAAATATCCCTTTCATTTTGTCATTTTCCTGTTCAGATCTTGAGTGGCTCTCCATTGCCTACAGAATAAAGTCCAGATACCTTAACCTGATATTCAGGACTTCTACAATCTGACCCTAACCCTCCCTTCCTTCCTTTTTAATTTTTATTTTCAGTTCCAAATTCTTTCCCTCTCCACCCCATCCCCTATCCATTGAAAAGACCAGAAAGGTGATACCTATTATATATGAAGTCGTGCAAAACATTTCCGTATTAACCATGTTGTGTTAGGGGAGGGAGGGCAGAGAGCAAGAAAAATACAGGAAAAAAGTATGCTTCAGCTTGAACTTAAAGTCTCTTAGTTCTCTCTGTAGGTGGATAGCATTTTTCATCATGAGTCCTTTGGAGCTGTCATGGATCATCACATCTGTTGTATCCATCAGAGTAGCCAAGTCTTTGATAGTTGGTTATCATCCTAACCCATTTTCCAACCTTATCGCCCACTTCTCATTTTATACCCTTGTTCTGTTCAGGCTGGTATATTTACCATAGCATCAGGGTGCCTTATGTGTTGCCACCCCAATGCTGAGGCTCCATTCTCCTGATC